GGATGGAGGACCCATTCTATAACTTCTCAAAGTGTTATGTACCAATTAAGCTATGCTTCCATTCTAGGAGGCTACTTATATGTATAATTCAATCATTTAAGTAGGGAGTTGGACTTATTTTTAGCAAATGAAGACTAGCTCCCATTTAGACTTGTTTGGCTTCATAAAAAAAGCCTATGTAAGTCAAATAATCCATAATATCACACCCATCTTTAAAGAATCAGTTATCAAAATACTGTCTTTGAATAATAAAAATGAATGATATGCTTAAGTGGAAGTATGCAAAACTTGGCTCTTTTACGTGGTGTTGGTTTGAGCATTCCAGACTCTACTAGAACTGCAGTTGAACGTCTGTGGCGTGTGATGGTTGTTGTTTTGTTATGTTTTGTTATTATTTATTTCAATCTAGGTCATATAGCATGGCGTAGATTGGAGGGGAAGTGATTAGGAAAGGGATCCTACTGATGCAAAGCAAGTTAGCTCAAGACTAAAGAGTCAATCTGGATTTTCCTGTGCTGCTGTAGAGGAGTAGAACTGTGATAACCAACCAATCAACCATTCATGCTGTGATACTAATATTCTTTTGTTTGTATGTTTTGGCAGCTGCAAAATGCAAAATACTGGCTTTTTTGCTGGGCTTGTTTTTGGAAAGGCAGGCAAGCTTCAAAAACAAAACAAACCTTGAAAAGTAGGTTGTTAATCCATGCTGATTGCTACTCACCCTACATAAAATTCACCAAGGGAATTAAAAAAAAAAAAACCATAGGAAGCAATGGAAACATTTATTTGCTTGTTTGTTTGTTTGTTATATTTCTATCCTGCCTTTTCCCCAAGAGTGCAAGGCAGCCTGTATAGAGAAATCTCTCCATTTTATCCTCAGAACAGCAACCACTATGGTTTCCTAGGGGGATTTTTTAATATTTTCAAGAGTTGTTTTTTTTTAATAATTCCCTCATTTTTGTAAGTTGAATAGCTGATAGCAATCAGGACGCACTATCACTCCACCTACTCTTGTAACCCTGGGCTGAAAAACAAGGAAGCAAGTAGCCCTTGTTTTCTATAGCTGAAACATTGGAAAATGCCGAGTCCTGTTCCACCGGAACGCTGCTGACTCCAGATGTTCCAAACCTGATTGTTGCAAACTTAACACAAACAATGCAGGACATACACTTAAGCACAAATATTACAGAGAAACCTCAAGTCCC